TCCGCCTGCCGATGCTGGGAACACGGGTTCATGCCCCGGTCCTTGAGGATCCCACATGCTGCGGAGCGGCTAGGCTCAGAGAAGATCCCACATGCTGCGGAGCGGCAAGGCGTAGCCCACGGTGGGCGCTTTAACATTTGTTAACTGCATCACTGAGTGGGGAGCAAATCAGTATTAACTTTCCTAGAGGGTACTTTGGCTCTATAGCTGTAAAAACATTCATACCTTTTGACCCAGTTATTCCATTAAAAAAAAAAAAATCATAGCCTTAGGAAAAAAGTCAAAGAAGCACAAATAAGGATATTCATCCTAATCATATACAGTAAGTCCCCTGCATACAAACCTTCAAGTTGTGAACTTTCAAAGATGCAAACATGCAGTCCATCAACATCAGGCATGAGTGAAATTGAAGCTTGCCCTCTGTCTCCTATTGCTGATGATCCTTCAGCTCTACCATCTCCCACCTCCTCTCCCTCCTCCAGTCAGTAACTCTTCTTGCCTCTTCACTTGATGCCAGCCCCTGTATGCCAGCTGTTGTATTGTACTACTCTACTTTTTAAGGTACAGTAGTACAGTACAGTAAGATTAAAAATGTTTTCTTTATTTTTTGTGTTTGTTTGTTTTTTATGTATTATTTGTGTGAAAACTATTATAAACCTATTACAGTACCATAGTACGTAGCCAATTGTGTTAGTTGGGTGCCTAGGCTAACTTTGTTGGACTTAACAAACAAATTGGACTTACGTATGTGCTCTCAGAATGGAACTCATTCGTATGTAGGGGACTTACTGTATGTATAACAGTAAAATTTTAAAATAAAACAATACAGTATTCAAAGAACATATTATTAAGAGCAGTCATTAAAAATAATGCTTCTGAAAAACATGTAATGAAATGGGAAACTATTAAATGAAAAAAAAAGTACCAAATATGTATTGTGATCCAATATGGTAAAAAAACAAAACAAAACAAAACAATTTATAAATGGAAAAATGCTAAAAGGAAATGATCAAAATGTCAATAGCACAAATAAATGGAAAGATATTCCATGCTCATGGATTGGAAGAATTAATATTATTAAAATGTCCACACTGCCCAAAGCAATATACAGATTCAGTGCAATCCCTATCAAAATTCCAATGGCATATTTCACAGAAACAGAACAGAAAAATCCTAAAATTTGTATGGAACCATAAAAGACCCTTTATAGGCAAAACAATCTTGAGAAAGACGAACAAAGCTGGAGGCCTCATGCTCCTTGATTTAACTATATTACGAAGCTATAATAATTAAAACAGTATAGTATTGGAATACATACACATAGATCAATGAAATAGAATACAGGGCCCAGAAATAAATGCATGCACGTATGAAAAGGAGCCAAGAACATACAATGGGGAAAGAACAGTCTTTTCAATAAAATGTTGGGAAAATGGACAGCCACTTGCAAAAGAATGAAACTGGACCCCTATCTTATACCATACACAAAAATCATCTCAAAATGGATTAAAGATTTGAAAGTAAGACATGAAATCATAAGACTCCTAGAAGAAAACATAAGCTACTTGACATAGGTCTTGGCCATGATTTTTTTGAAACTGACTCCAAAAGCAAAAGCAACAAAAGCAAAAATAAACAAGTGGGGCTACATTAAACTAAAAAGCTTCTGTACAGCCAAGGAAACCATCAACAAAACAAAAAGGCAACATACTGAATGGGAGAAAATATTTGCAAATCATCTATCTAATAAGGGGCTAATATCCAAAAATATAAAGAACTCATATGACTCAATAGCATAAAACAATCTGATTTAAAAATGGGCAGAAGATATGAAGACGTATTTTTCCAAAGAAGACATATGGATGGCCAATAGGTACATGAAAAGATGTTCTACACCATCAGCCATCAGGGAAAGGCAAATCAAAACCACAATGAGATATCACCTTACACCTGTTAAAATGGCTATTATCAAAAAGACTAGAAATAACAAGTGTTGGTGAGGATGTGGAGAAAAGGGTATCTTTGTGCACTGTTGGCAGGAATGTAAATTGGCATAGCCACTATGGAAAACAGAAGGAGTTTCCTCAAAAAAATAAAAAATAGAACTACCATATGATCCAGCAATTCCACTTCCTGGTATTTATCTGTAGAAAATGAAAACACTAATTTGAAAAGATATATGCACCTCCCTGTTCATTGTAACATTATTTACAATAGCCAAGGTATGTTAACAACCTAAGTGTTCACTGATGGATAAATGGATAAAGAAACTATGATATATATACACAATGGAATATTATTCAGCCATAAAAAAGGAAATCTTGCCACATGTGACAATATGAATGGACCTCAAGGGCATTATGCTAAGTGAAATAAGTCAGAGAAAGACAAATAGCATGTGATCTCTGTTATACATATATGTATATGTCTCTTAGATGCAGAGAACAGATTGGTGATTTACAAAGGTGGGGGTGGGGTGAGGGGGCATGGTGGGAGAAACAGGTGAACTGTTTTCTTCCTGTTGTTGTTTAAATAAATTGAGTTTTAATAAAAGATGAGGACTGAGAGCTGCCTATTGGACATATTAATGTGGAGAATTGTTGGAGACAGCAAGAATAGACAATCGTATTGAGGTGTTTTTGCAGGAAAGAGGTACAGAAAAATGGGGTAGTTGCTGGAGAAGGATGAAAATTCAAGGTAAATTGATGTTTAACTAATGACATCAAAATGAACTGCAGGAGAAGGTGGAAATATGAGAGACCTAGAATGTTTCACCTGCCTTTCATGTTATCCAAGAGGACTGAATATCCTATACACTTTATTCATCCATTGAGATTTACTGGTATCTAACTTGGACTTTCAGGTCTAGCAACAGTTTTGATGAAGGAATTCTGCTAAGAGAACATTTCTATGGTTAATCAGACTATTAGAATTCTATCTAATTAGGACCCTGATAAGAAGCATTGAATATGTTTCAGCAATTTTGTTTGATTTTTCGTTAAATTACTAATTCATTTGTTCAAAGTATTTATTGAGCACTCACTACGTATGTGTGAGTCAGTTGCTAAGGACAGAAAGATGAATGTGGTGTAATCCTGAAGGGATAAATATGTAAACCAGTAACGACAGTACAAATTGATATGGGCTATAAATGAAGGTATAGTCGTCCCTCAGGATCTGAGGGGGATTTGTTCCAGGACCCTTCTCAGATACCAAAATCTGCTGATGCTCGAGTCCCTTACATAAAATGGCGCAGTATTTGCACATAACTTATGCACAAGAGATGATACTTTAAATCATCTCTAAATTATTATAAAACCTAATACAATGTAAATGCTGTGTAAATAGTTGCTGGCCAAGGTAAATTCCAGTTTTGCTTTTTGGAACTTTCTGGAATTTTTTTTTTCTGAATATTTTCCATCTGTACTTGGTTTAATCCTCAGATATGCAACCGTCAGATACAGAGGGCCAACTGTACATTCAAAGTGCTGTAGTAACAGTAAATAGCAGAACACAGCAGAAGGGGTAGTTGAAAGATTTATAGGGCAACTAAAGGGAGAAAGGGGATTTAGAGTTACAATAGGGCATTGGACTGGAAAATGTTGAGAGGTCCTTGAAAATTTGAGCTTCATGAAAACAGTGAATGCAAAAAAAAAAGTCAATAGCTATTATCTCTGAGTGATTTTTATTCTGAGTTGACTTCTTCATACTTTCTTCAATGATTATATAATTACTTTTCTAACCAGAAAACAAAACAAAACCAAAAAAATCCAAGAAATCTTTTTAAAGAAAAGAAATGGTTGTTACTATGTCCCTTCTGCTAAACAGGGGCTCTCAAACTTGAAAATGCATCAGAATCACCTGGATGGTTGGTGAAAAGAGATTGTCACCTCTGCCCCTCCCTCCTATTCAACAGATCTAGGTGGGGCCTGATAATTTGCATTTCTAATAAGTTCCACTGGACTAAAAGATTGCAATATAGAATGGCTATATGGTACAGTGAAAATGAGTGGGTTTTGAGGTCAGGTTGTGATTCTGGTTCTGCCCTTTGCAGGCTGTGTGTAGCAACAGTTGACATACTTTAACCACACTCAGCCTGTTTCCACATTGATAAAATAAAAGTAACACACACCTCAGAAGTGTATTGTGAAGGCTGAATGATATGATTAAATATCCAATGCAGTGCAGGCCTTAGTTAAGGTCCTTAAATAATGTTGGTCCCCTTCCCTTTGATTTCCTCTACGGATGAACCACACATTTGCCATAACTAGGTTTACTGTGACATGGTTTAGTCACATCACAGGTCAAATCATTTCCTCCGAACCTATCAAACCATGCACATCCCTCTGCTACTAACAAAATCTTCATTGTTCATTTATAAAATTGGGGATAATAGTATAATAGTGTCTACTTTGCACAGGTGCATCCATGAGGGTTAAACAAGATACTATGTTAAGTGCCTAAATCAGTAATTGGCATGTGGAAGATGTATAGTAACTTCCCTTTCCCTTTCCCTTTAATTGGATATTTCTCCATAGTATCTCCTTGACCAAGTTCAAAAGGGTCTAGAATAACTCAAAACAACTTTTCCACCCTAATCAAATTGTTTTGTGTCACATTTAATTTGAAGTCAATTATTTGGTTTATTTAAATACTGGTAAGGACAGACTATATAAACTATTGTACTGGATGTTCAAGGAGATAAGTAGAAGACTGTTACCTGATTCTGAGTAGTTGGTTGAGGTGACAATATACTTGAAAAGCTGCAAGGCCAGGGAGGACAAATCATACAGAAATAAGTGTGGTAGGAGTTTTGAGATTACAGTGGTTGATCTGATTATTTTACACTAAGATCTAGAGAATTACTGAGTTGTAAGAGAGCTATGGCTTTATGGCTGAGAAAATAGGTCCAGAGAGCTAAGTGGTCTAGGGGCACAGCTATGGAGTGGCAGGGGTTTCCTGTCTCCCAGTCCTGTGCTGCTTATAGATATGTTTCTTACCTTGAGGAGGCAGTTTGGTGTAGCTAGTTAAGCACTGGGTTCTGAAGCTAAGATGCTTGGATTTGAGTCCTGGTTTTTCCAGTTACTATCTGTGTGACTTTGGGCAAGTCACTTATCTCTATGCTTCAGTTCCTCCATCTATAAAGTGAAAATAATAATAGTACCTTATTTCATAGGGTTGTTGTGAGGATTCACTAACTTAATATCTGTAAAGCATTAAAAACTGTAGTTTTGACATTGTAACTGCCATTAGTCTCTAAGAGAATGGAAGACAAGAAGTCCAGTCTTCTGTTTTTTCCTTCTTTTTCTTCTTCTTTTTAAAACTTCCTCCCTCAGATTCTGATCAAAGCGTCCACATGAGTGCTCAAAAAATACATGTTAGCTACCTTAATCTTATAGGATAAAAACACATTTTTGTATCTCAGAAGTAAGACTTGGGATTTGCATAAGTCAGGCCTAGTCTGGTATCAGGAAAGTCTAGAGAAGTAAAAACTGAGATAGCAACAGATTCCAGGATCCAACAGGGCTTCTTTAAAAAAGCCAGGCAAGGGACTTCCCTGGTGGCGCAGTGGTTAAGAATCCACCTGCCAGTGCAGGGGACACGGGTTCGATCCCTGGTCCGGGAAGATCCCACATGCTGAGACGCAACTAAACCCATCTGCCACAACTACTTAGCCTGCGCTCTAGAGCCTGTGCGCTGTAACTACTGAGCCCCCGCGCTGCAACTACTGAAGCCCATGTGCCTAGAGCCCGTGCTCTGCAACAAGAGAAGACACAGCAATGAGAAGCCCACGCACCGCAGCGAAGAGTAGCCCCCGCTCTCCACAACTAGAGAAAGCCCACGCGCAGCAACGAAGACCCAACGCAGCCACAAAAATAAAAGAAATTAAAAAAAGAAAATAAAAAAGCCAGGCAAGATCAATAGATGCAGAGAAAGATGGAGGTCAATGAATCTAATTTCAAATATGCTTTCCCATCTATTTTAAGATCTATTCCAAACTTCCTTGGAGAAAAATCTAGACTTTTAAGGAAAGTGCAGCGAACATGCCCCCCGTGGGCTTGCTTTGAGGGAATGTTTCAGCAGGTGCTGCATTCTGCCCTGGAGGTGGCTGCATGGATTTGTGAATCGAGGTGACAACACTGACTCCCTGAAAAGATGCTTTCTCTACACAGGAACTTTAACTGATAGTTTAACTACAGTGATACTACTTGAAACACAAGGAAGAAAGAGGAAGAGGAGGAGGAGAAAAGGGAGAAGGAAAAGAGGGAGGAGAAAAAGAGAAGGAGGAGGAAGAAGAGGAAGAAGCAGTAGAAACTGCCGTCAAGCCAGTCACAACTCAGTTCAATAGTCATTTTAGAAAAAGCAAGAACCATCCCCCCCACCCCCCCTCCGCCCTGGAGCACCTTTCTCTACGCTTCTCAAATCCTGCTGAAAAAATTCTGGGACTAATTTACAAGCCAAGAAGGCTGTCGCAGAATTAGGGAGAGCAGGTGGAGGTGAGAAATAACCTATATTGAGGGACTTGAAACATCATGGATTTGGGGAGGGGGGATGGGCAGGGACTTGGCACTACCTTCAGCATCATCTATCAGGAAATCTAGGGATGGAAGAAGGTTCCAAGAGGGGTCCCAAATCTTCTGCATTTTGCAGATGCAAATCACATCGTCCACCTCCACTCTCGGCACTCGGGCGGTATCAGGATAAAATAAGCATCAAAAGGGGAATCTTGAAGTGAAAACAAATAGCAGAAGGTCAGCCTAGAGTTCTTGTGTGGGAGTGGCTTAACGAAGGTCAGCACAGCCACAGCATCAGAAAAGGTGGAAAAGGTCACCGACAGACGAGCCCCAAAGTTTGGGGTTTGGGTCTCCTGGTACCCTACGATTTGCCCCGCACACACACCCTTTAAGTTTCTCAGTTTGAGTCTCGCCTGTAGACTTCCTGAAAAGATACGGTCTTATTAAGCGTTCTCACGGCGCCTAGCTCAGAGCTGACCCGTTAGCCGGTTCTCAATAACGTCTGGGAGCAAAAGCAGCTTTTGAAGTTGGAGGAGGAAGGGCTCTGGGTTTATTTATGTTAGGGTTGGCTTTCGGGTGTGGCCTGGCACCAACTGCCAGCAAAAATTTCCCGATCACCTCCGGTCTTCCACCTCTGCCCAGGTGACGTCGGTAAGCCCCGCAGGACCAGCTAGAGCTAAGCGGCTAAGCCGCGTCCTTCAGGTGTCAGTCTCGATCCGTTCGGAAACCACAATCCCCAGAATCCCTTGGGCAGGGAGGTCAAGTCGCAAATAAGATGGCTCCAGAAGGGTGGGACATGCAGCAGGGTGGAAACCCTGGTCCCTGGCAGTTTCTTTACCGGATGTGTTTAAATAACTGAATCCCCACAAATGCACCACTCCAGTAACCACCTCCGTGGCCGAGGAGGCCACCGCAGCCGCCTCGCTCGGTCTTCCAGGGGCATCCTGGGAGTTGCAGTCCAGTCGCTGGGCTGCGCCGAACAACCTTTCCCATAGTGCCCTACGGGTCGGGCAATTTCAACGTTCTTTTCCAAAACTCTCTCCGCACTGAGATCCCCTTTCCCCAGTCCCCTTCTCTCCGATAACTCCTTCCCGTCTGTGGCGACAGAGCGCCGGCCGCCGGTGGCCTGGGCCCCTGGCCGGGTCGCCCCGAGAGGCACTTCCGGCGGCGGTTCACTTCCTGGTTGGGTGGATGGAGCCGAGCGGGAGCGCGCGCGGGGGAGGGGCGGCGGGTTAGTCTCCGCCGGGCGCTCCGGGGATCAGCTGGCGGGCGGGCGGGCGCCGAACGCGGCCCCGGCTCTCGCTGCAGCGCCGCCTCCTCTCCTTGTCGCAGGCCGGCCCGGCGGCCGTGACAATGTTGCGGCGCTGGTAGCTGGGCGCCGGCCGCCAAGCCATCTCAAGTGGGTGCCGCTGGGATGCTGCCTCGCGGGGCGGCGGGGAGACCGGGGAGGAGGGGAAGCAGTGCCGGGTTGGGTCAGCGCTGCCCGAGGCGGCCCGAATCCCTCGTTTTTCAGACCCCAGGGCACAGGGTCCCGGGTTGTGGGGCCGGGAACGCGTTTTCAGCCGCAGGGTTTTTCTAAGAAAATGCATGAAGCGTTTCCCCAGGATGGTGGCTTTTGCTCCCCCTAGGACTCAGCAGTTGAATTTTTAAGTGTGTTACTGATTCATCCTCTCTCTCTTCCTCTGTCATCACAGGTTTAAACTTACACGAATCGCTCTCTTGAGGAGGAGGGGACCGCCGCGCGATTGACACGCATATTCCTATAGGCATCCTCCCTCAGCCCCCACCCCCTCGGCCGGATTCGGGTGGCTCCTCTCCTAGCTGAAATCCGAGAAGAAATCCTTGGATCTCTTGTTAAAAAAAAAAAAAAAAAAAATCTAGAAACCGTCGGTATTTTGCTTTACTGCTTCCTTTTCGCAAGATGAAGAAGTTTTTCGACTCCCGGCGAGAGCAGGGCGGCTCTGGCCTGGGCTCTGGCTCCAGCGGAGGAGGGGGCAGCACCTCGGGCCTGGGCAGTGGCTACATCGGAAGGGTCTTTGGCATTGGGCGACAGCAGGTCACTGTGGACGAGGTGTTGGCGGAAGGTATGGTGGGACTCTTTCAGTGCGCCGTAAATTAAAATCTTGTGCTGATGCAGCAAGACGTTAAATGTATGAATGGGTTTTGACCAGTTGACCCTCCCTTCCCCCTCCCCTTGCCCTGTGAATCATTGTCCTTGAGAAATTTGAAACTGAGATTTCAAAGTGACAGGGCTTTATGGGGTGGGGGGAATTTGCCAGAAATTGTTTACCTCGGTGGCCTTTTATTTAAAAAAAAAATTTGACAAGCCACTTCTTGCCTGCCTCACCGAATTATGAGGATCAGACGAGAAAACGTATGGGTGAAAGTGTAAAGCTTTACATCAGATGTAGGGTGTGGGGCTTGTCATCCACCTAAAACTTGAAATACTGATGTGAGGGCTGAGCGGTGGGGATGGAGGACCTTTAAGAGGGGTTTCTTCTACCCAACTTTCCCACTCCCTTGAGCAGGCACTGGAAGGAAGAGAGGATTTTCAGAGAATCAGAGTGTGTTTTTCTAAGAGCCAAGGCTCTTGTTGGATTTGACTAGGTTTGTTTCCTGACCCAACTGTAATCAGGTCCCCAGGATGCAGCTAAGATAACAAATTACATGAAATGAATGTGGTTATTTTGAAATCAGTCCAGTAGGCCCCTCTTTCTCCTGTTCTTGTTTTTCGGTTTTTGGTGTGTGTGTGTGTGTGGTTGTGTTTTGCCAAAGGAATTACTTGAGAGTGGCCTCCGATTTTTTCTTTTTCTCTTTTGGAGAGGATGTTAATGTTATTTAGATCTGCTGCGTAAATTCCCTACACACGTGTTCATCTGTGTATCTATAGACATGTAGATATATATCTTCATCCCCCAGGCTGTCCTGTAATCTTTGCATGTCTCTTTTGGTAACCTTAACGTCGACCTTCATAATTATGCCAGACTCATAATTTTCACAGCCCATTGCCTGCCTAGTGAGCTTTTATTTTTAATAAAAGCAGCAATTTCCTTGGCATGAAGCTATTCCAACTAATTGGATGGGGCCAACCTGCTGTAGGTTGTTTTATCAGCCAAGAGGGGATGGGGGAAGGGGAGGCCTCTATTCCTGCAGCATGGTGGGGGAACAGTTTATTAGCAGGAGAAGAAGCCTTCTTGCAAGCTAAGGTTGGAGCAAGGGCCCCAACCTGGGCTTGGGACATGCCTGACACGGTGAGTGTTGCTCGTGGTGGGTTTGGAGGAGGAGCTGTTTGGCTCTCAGCTTGTGTCAGCATGGGATTCAGCTGGGCCCAGTTTTCTGGGGTTACGGTTGAAGACTTTTTAAAAACACTGGTTTAAAAAAGACCTGGCAGTTGATGTCCTTATGAAATTGTTGCTCTTTTCCATTTTCAGTACTGCTCTAGCTGGACTTAATCCGGGGCCTGAGTCACTGTCCCTCTGGATCCTTCCTTGTGGGCTTTGGTGCAGGATGGGAGATGCTTCTGTGCCCGCTGCCAGATCCACACCCTTGAGTCTGGTCTGTCTGTTTCATACCTGTGCCAAAGCCCTTGACTGCAGTGGGATGGAGAAATGGAGAAGGAGTGTGTGTGAGAGAGAAATCAAGAGGAAGGAGGGGGCCCAGAGCTCTTTCCTTCCCTCTCAACAGCCTCTGCTGAACTTAGAGCCCAGAAACATTTTGTTCAGCTAGGCTATTGTCTCATTAGAGGTGATGCTACCCTAAGCAGTGCCTTTTCTCGGAGTCTGAGTTGACGGGGAGGAGAAAAGGCAAAATTGGTCTTTTTTATCTAGGCTGCCCTTCTCTTCCCCAGAATTCATCCCTGAGAACTGCACATCATGCATGATGGTATTTTTAAATGGAACTGAGGGCTTGCAGCTGTGTATTCATTCATTTATTCATTCAACAAACAGTTATGGAGTGTCTGTGATGTGCCAGGCACTGTGCTGGGCTCTGGGGAATATGATTTAAAACTAGATACTGGAATTTACAAACTACTTTGAGAGATGGAAAACAGCCACTTAAAACAGAGCAATATGTGCTATCATGGAGATAAGCTTAGGGTGCAGTGGCCTCCAATTTTAGAGAGCCAAGAACTGCTTGCGGCAGGAAGTGACTGACTGAAGGACGAGCAGGAATTATCCAGGTACGGTGACAGCACGGACAAAGGCTCAGCTAGGTCTGGCAGTGTCGCCCTCTTTATGTTCTTTGACTATAACTGAATATGAGTATGTGGTTCTTAGAAGTATGTAGCTGTGTAGGAGCCAGTATACAAAGTACTTGTGAAGAACCCACCAAGTACAAAGGCACTGCAAGGTTCTGGGAAGGATATAGGGGGGTTTAAAGTGTGATGCCTGCGTTTAAGGAGCTGTCAGTGAATTTATGAAAACAAGGCAAACATTCACCCCTACAGCAGCACGGTTACCAGGGCTGTCTGTGGAATCAGGTAGATCTAGATTCAAATTCTGGATCTGTTCTTTACTAGCTGTGAAACCTTGGGTAAGACATTTCAGACCTCTCTTGAATCTCTGTTTCCCTCTGGCACTCTCAAAGTGTGGAGCCTCGGTCCGGAGCGTCAGCATCACGTGGGAGCTTGTTAGAAATGCAGGTTCAGGCCTCACCCCATAAATTTGGTTGTGGGGCTTTAACAAGTTCCTGGAGAGATTCTGCTGCAAGCTAAAGTTTCAGAACCACTGCCCTACGGAGCGGTCTTGAATATTGACTGAGGCAATGTATGTAAATTATTTAACATTTTTCAGATGTTCAATAATTGGTAGCCATTATTTCTCAGCCAGGAGGAATGGGGGGCAATGTGAAGGCTAGTTTGACTGCAGCAGTCTGCAGCTTTCCTTTCCCCCGGTGTGGGTAGACACAGCCAAATGTTCTTTGCAGAGGCATCAGCAGCTCCTTAAAGGGTCAACAGATGTTTTGGGTAGCCATGCTCCTTCCTGAACCCTCTTCGCTTTGAGTCCCCAGGTGCCGACCTAGCCACCAGTCCCAGCCAGTGTTGTCTTAGGATGACGAGAATCATGCATCAAAGTGCCCAGGGCAGTGGCCAGGCAGTTCAGGGAGGGATGATGTGCTGGGCTTCAAGCTCAGACCCTGTTACCACCTCGTCTCACTGACCGTCCCTTTTTCCTTCACGTGGGTTTGGTCTGTACTTTACAGTGAGGAATCGCAGGAACCCCAAGGAGGAGGTGCTGGAGTGTAAGGCAGGAGAGTGCCTGGGCTGCCATCTTTCCGTCAGCGGCATCAGCCCCAGTCACCCAGTTTCCCTAACTAGTCCAGTGAGGGTTTGTCTGTCTGGGGGAAGTGAAGGTTCTAAGTCACGAGGGGTCTGGCTTTGTGTAGGCTGGTGCAGGGGAGGATATTTTCTCTCTAGCTTCCTCAGTGAAGATGCCATGATGAGATGCTAAATCATGTGTGAAGTAACAGGCGTGTGATGTCAAGGGAAGATCTGGTTTAAGCTTCCAGAATGAGCTCAATGGGAAAAGTGGAGCAATGCTCAAAGGAGGACTGAGAGGCTACGCTTTTGTCATATCCCCCTAGCTCTATGAGGCCTTACCTCTAAGCTCCAGACAATACGTAAATGTTGACTACCTGCTGTGTCCAAGACAGCAGTCCTGAACATTCTGTATAAGGTGGAGCAGGGGGCCCTTCAGGAAAGTTTTCTGACCTACACTAAAGGAATTCAGGTCTAGGGCTAATGAGAACTACTCAGTAAGTCTCCGTGTCAGTAAACTGACAGTTTCTCCTACCTACAGTGCAAAGTAGTGAGGCTTAAAAAATATGTGTGAAATCACCTAAACCTAACAAATGTGTGTGCGTGTGCGTGTGTGTGTGTGTGTGTGTGTGTGTGTGTGTGTATGGCATAAATATGTATTGGTGGTATCAGTATGACGCATGCATGTATTCGTTTAGTGAACGTTTGTTGGTGCCTTCTCTGTGGCAGGTGCTGTATTAGGCTCCAGAGCTACTGGTATGAATGGGACTTGGGCCTGGCTCTTAAGAAGCTCATAGACCAGCAAATAACGCTACGATAAGTGTGCAGCACTTAGCATGGTCCTGGGTGTGGAGTAGGTGGTAAAAAGATGTTATGAGATGATAAAGGGCCTGGGGCTGAGGGTTTCCAGATGAAGTGGCGTTTGAACAGGAATGGAAATTACCCAGCATATATTCCGGATGAGGGTTACTCAAGCCTTTCTAAGCAGAAAGAATAGCACGTGCAAAAGTGCGGAGAGGGGAGACAGTATGGTGAGTTCTGGGAAAACTGGCTAGTCTGGTGTTATCATTTTGGTTAGTAGAAGTTTCCCTTCCAGAGTCAAGGAAAGAAGGACATGACATGGTAGAAGGAAGTTCTTTTACATTTGCTCCCTGTCTGTGCTGGCTGCTTGCTTTCCCCAGTGGCCCTGGGCCTTCTGAGTAACCATTGGCTAGCTGTCCAGTGTGCACTGCTTCCCTCTGTGCCTCAGCCCTTTGCCAGTAGTGGGGGCGAGGAGGTGGCTGGTGTCTGGGGAAGGAGTGGTCCCGAAGGTTCGAGGAGAGGCAAGAAGCTTGAAGCAGAAGCAGCCGGGGGAGTGAGAAGACCAGTGTTACAGGAAGGAGTGGACAGGGGAGATAATGAGGGTGTTTGGCCCAAGCAGAAGGTATGTTGGAGAGAAAAGAAAAGGAAATAAGGCCACGGAGAGCTTCAGCGCCAGGCAGGGAGGTTGGCTATAAGCATGTGAGGTCTTCCCTTGATGCAAACAACCAATTTGACCCCTCCCACTTCAGATGTCTTTGCCTGCTGGGAAGTCTGGTTTTTTAGTGGCAACTGCAGATTTTCAGGGGGTGGCTTGTGAATGGTGTCTTCTTCCTGGCTTCGGGCATGATGACGGTTATAGCTTTGCTAAATATAGCCAAATCTCGAATTCAGCAATGAAATCTAGAATAAGTCATTGCGTGGTCAAAGCCTTTCCTTTGGTCTTTCTAACAAAGTCACACTCATTTAATGAGAGGTCATGAAGAGAGAGAAACAGTTTCGTATGGGTTTTGAGAGGGAGGGTATGGG